TCTTTTAGTTTTGTCCATCTAAGAAGGTCTGATTTCATCTTCATTCTTGAAGGATATTTTCACTGGATAGAAGATTCTAGGTTAATAGTTTTTATTTTTTCATTACTTGAAAAAATATTCCACTTCTGTCATTTGAATTGTTTTTACTGTCTAGGTATATTGTCATTTGCTAGTGGTTTCAAGATTTTTTCTTTGTCTTTCTTTAGTCTTCAGAAGTTTGTCTATTTTATGTCTTGATGTGGATTTCTTTGAATTTATAATTTTTTAATATCATTAAGTGTCTTGGATCTGTAAGGTTTATGTGTTTTGCCAAATTTGGGGAGTTTTCAGCCCTTATTTCTTTAAATGCTTTTTCATCTACACAGTCTTTCTCTTCTTCTGGGATTCTGATTACATGAATGTTAAATATCTTATTATTGTCCCACATGTTTCTGAGGTTCTGTTAATTTTTTAAAAACTATCAGATTGTATTTCTGTTGTTCTGTCTTCCAGTTCATCAGTTCTTTTCTCACCACCCCCCCCTCCATTTTGTTGTTAAGCTCATCTTTGAGTGTTAATTTTGCTATTGGTTTTTTTTTTTTTTTCACTTCTATTTGGCTCTTCTTTTCTGAGACTGTTTCTATGTGGGATTTTCTCTTTTCCCCCCACTTGCTTCAAGTGTCTGTTATTGCTTGTTGAAGTGTTTTTATTTTGGCTGCTTTAAAAATTTCAGTCAGATAATTCTAACATCTTTTATTTAATTGTTTTCTTCTATTTTTTTCAAGTTGAGGTATTCCTGGTTATCACTGTGACAGTTGATTTTTTTTAATTAAAATCTTTTGAGTTTCATTGAAAATTTTGGGTATTATGAAACTCTGTATTCCTATTTAAAGTTTCTTTTAGCTGACTTCCTCTGACACCACACCAGAGGAAAGGCCTGGTACTGTGCCATTGCTTCCAGGTGGGGTTAGATGTTCAAGTTCTTCACTTGGCTTCAGTTTACATCTGGATGAGGAAGGATTCTCTATTTCTGGGTGAGGATGGGGCTCTGGCTCCCCACTGGGCCTCTGCTGATACCATCCTGGCTGGAAGGGGGTAAAGCACCATATTACTTCTTATGTGGCTTCTAGTGACATCATTGGGGGTGCCCTCATTACTGCCAAGCAGTGGTTAAAGTCTTGACTTTCCTCTTGGCCTCCTCTGACATCTTAGCAAAGATGGGGAGGGGTTCTTTTTATTGTAGGGAGGGGTGAAGTTTAGGTTCCCAGTGTGTGGTTTCTGCCTACACAGGGGTTGAGGGGTGTGTAGGGAGCAGGTGGGACTACCTAGCACCCAGTAGAGGTGAACATCCCAGATCCCCATAAGTCTTCTCTGACACCAATAGGGATGGGGGCCTGGGTCCTTTATTTCAGCCTGGGGAGGGTGGAGGTTTAGACTCCCCACTTGGCCTTTGCTGTCTTGGGTGGATATGGGTTTGCAGTGTTTGGCTCCAGTTATTTTAGGCAAGCAGTTATTGCCTAAAAGTTTTCTGTCCTGCTAAGCTGCACCTTAACTACTCCTTTGGTTAGAAAAAGTAGAATTTAGGGGAGCCTGGGTGGCTCAGTCCGTTGAGCGTCCAACTTTGGCATCAGGTCATGATCTCGCAGTTCGTGAGTTTGAGCCCCACGTCGGGCTCTGCTGACAGCTCAGAGCCTGGAGCCTGCTTCAGATTCTGTGTCTCTCTCTCTCTGCCCCTTTCCTGCTCATGCTGTGTCTCTCTCTCTCTGTCTCTCAAAAATGAATAAATGTTTTTAAAAAAAGCATGCTTTTCTTGGGACTTTGGTCTTTCCAGGTTGCCAACTTCTTCAGCACCCTTTCTGGGATATATGAGGCAAAATAAAAATTCAGGGGCCTCACTGCTCTGTCATTTCTTGGGTCCCTAACCAGTTTTCTTTCTTCTCTCTACCTTTCAGAGTCTTCTTATGGTTGCTTTATACAAAATGTCAGGTTTTTCATTGTATTTATCAAGAGAAAGAGGGAAAAGTAGGTCTACTCTGTCTTCCTGGGAGCAGTAGTCCTGAGATGTATCTTTATAGTGTTGGCAGATATCACAGTATGTTTCCATGCTGGCCTGAATTCTTCACGAGAGGAGAATTGCAACAATACCACTGAGTAGGTGAGAGTGGGAGGGCTCCAGTGTACCCAGTAGGGTTGCAAACTGTTGTGTACTTGGGAGGCTGGACATTTTATTCTCATTCCTACTAGTTTTGTCAGTGTGCCAATTCTGGGACTTTTGCTATCGGAGACATTCATCACCTTCACTGTTCTCTGCTTTGAATCTCAGTGTCTGGCTCCTGCTTGGGCTCCCAGGTCAGCATCTTCCTGCTGAGTTTGGCCAATAGGAAGCTCTGCTGGGAGATTGAGGGATGGGGAGAGGTAAGCTGGTACTTCTTACCACTCCACTCTGCTTTGGGAGGCATCTCTTCTGGCACTCCACCTTCTTTCAGAAAGGCTCACCATGGTTTCTGCACTCACCTTCTTCCTCTGCTCCTCAGCTATGGTGGGGTGGAAATTTCCCCACTGTTGTTAATTGCTAGCCTTTGGTGAGTGTCACAGCATGTCCACCTCTTGTGTAACCAGTTTCCACGGTTAGGGTCTTCAGCTTCTATTTCCTTCTTGGACCCTGGTTGACTCAGTCAGTGAAGGAAGGAAGAGGCAAAGGCAGCAGCTGAGGTTGAAAAGGAGGGAGGGTGTATGGGATTTTAAGGAGGGAGATGGAGGAGAACAGGAATGAAAATTGCCCTGGGAGATGTGTTAAAATTGTTGGGCAGTTTTAGGACCCAGTAGGAACACTGCACACAGAAGTCATGTAAAACTGTCAGGACCACAGAGGGTTCTCTATGGCTACATTCAGCTGCTTAGATGCTGGCACAGGGAAGGAAAGCCAATGTTGGGGGTTTTGCCATGGGTGGCAGACAGACCCCAGGGTAGCCCCCATGATCCCTACTGCCTGGTGGTCATGTCCTTGTGTGATTCCCTCCCCTGAGTTAAAGGTAGGCCTTGTGCCTGGCTTCCAACCAGTAGGATATGGCAAAGGCAGTTGATGGGATGTCGCTCCTGTTGTTGTGTTACATTATGTAAAATTTTGCCTTGCCAGTGGAGACTCATGGTTGCTTGATGAAGTGAGCAGACATGTTGGAGGAGTCCACATGGCAAGGAACTGCAGGAACCTGTAGAAGGTGAGGGTGGGTTTTGAGAGCTTAGTGTGTGGTCTCTAGTCCACAGCTAGCAAGAAGCCAGAGCCCCAGTCCTGTAGGACCAGGAAGTGAATTCTGCCAACATTGAGTCATCTTGGAAGCAGATTTTTCCCTCGTTGAGCCTCTAGATAAGAAAAAAAGCCTGATGACACCTTGAGATCCTTAGAAAATGACCCAGCTAAGCCTGCCCCAACACCTGACCCACAGAAACCCTGAGCTTATAAACATGTGTTGTTTTAAGCTTACCAATTTTGTATTAATTTGTTATGCAGCAATAGAAAACTCACACATCAGGTGAGCTTGACAGAATGAGTTGGGGCAAGTAGGAGGAGAGGGTTTGCTGGGAAGAGGAGTGGGGACAGGGGGTGTTTGGCTGATGAAGAAGCAGAGAAGCTCCCTGCCATTGAGGTGATCACATAACTGAGAGTCCAGGGGGTGGGAAGCATCATCTCTGTAGATGTTGAAACCAAAATATGACAAAGGTAAAACAAGACCACAAGCTATGATTCAGATCTTCAAAGAATGAAGAGATATGACCAGGAAGATATTAGTTGTTTCAGTAAGGGGTTGGTGGGGCATTCCAATGACATGTTCTAAAGCAGCTGGAATACTTTAGGGATGGGAGAAGATTGCAGTGGAGAGCAAGGAGGATACCTTTCCAAACTCTTGGTAGGGCTAACTACATAATTTATGGAGCCCCATGCAAATGAAAATGTAGGGCTCCTTTTTCAAAAAACAGGAAAAGTGTGATGTTAAGAGTATTAAAATGTAAAGCTTTTTCCTTTCTTCCACACTCTTTTTCTTGACTTGTCACAGTATTTTAAAATGTCATTATTCTAAGGAAGGAAAAATTAAAAATCTAAATTATTAGCATGAATGTCATCCCTGATCTTTATTTTGAAGTATAATTTTAAATGCAAATATGAGAGCATTTAACTTGTAGGTGGAATCAGGAAAGTTGTACAGTTTGTATTTTGCAGTTCATACATGCATGTGGACTTTGTTCTTACCAGACAATGGAAGCATTGCACTAAACTAATGTAAATGTATTTACTTTACTTTTTGATACAGGCATATTCTACCAACATTCCACCTTCTTCTTACTGATGAGTGAGTCACAAGGAGTGGTGAATCCATGTATTGTACCCATTGAACCCATAGTCATGTACATTGCTTCTCAGTGTTGCAAATCCTGCTCAACCAAAGCTCACAACGAGTGTTGGGTTCAAAGCAACCATTGAAAGCAAACCATTCTGCTGCAAATCAAAGGTTATTGCTGGGGTTATGGGATGCTAGCAAATGTAAAAGAATAAAATTGTAATGGTTAGAAATATAATCCAAGAGTAGGACATCATAACCTTTTAATTTTACTTTCAATAAGCAGTTGTTTTCATTTTGATAGTAGGTATTATTTTCTCATTACAAAGGTATTAATTTGTTAGATGCAAAACCCATAAAACCATAGCATAGACAGGAACAAAGGAGAAAGCCCCCACCATCCAGAGGTACTCATGTTTCAGAGGCTGAGTCTTTTTGGCCTTCTGTTCTATGAAAATGCTATGTATATATTTATATCAAGAAAAATATCATAGTTTATCAATGTTTTTTCTGTATCCTTAATTTTCTCCCATATCAATGAATATCCTTATAGAGCATTTTAGTTGAATAGCATTTCATACTGCACACATATTACAACTTAACTAATGCTTCAGAGAGAGACTGCATGGATTCCATATGGATTCCCCAAAGTGCAAACAATATTTCCAGTTTGCTTTTCATCAACAGTGGTTTCTTTCTGGCTGACCTGGTGAGAAGAGTGACAACGGAACATGCATCTAGAGAACAAAGATGGTGGGCTGACCTCTGGTGTGCTGGAGATGGAGCTACATCAGTCATCTGCTCCTATGTGTGCTGGCCTGGGAAGGCCAGGGCTGGCGGTACCTGCCACCAGCAACCGCAGGCTACTGCAGGGAGTCAACAGGGTAGACCCCACATCCCCCTACTCCAGCAGGGCAACTGGGCAGAGCTGCTTGGCTTCTGTGGACCAGGATTTTGGTTCATTCCTCACAGAGCAGAGGTGAGTTTATAATAGTTTTATCTGGAATGTGGAAGTCACAAATATTGTGTTTTATGAGTGTAGTTCCCCTATTTTTTGTGGGAAATTTTCAGATATTATTCAAGGAATGCAAGAATCTTTCTATCATTAGATCACTTTCCTGACCTGTTTAAAATGAATGCTCTTTCTAAAATGTAGCTAACATAATTCCAAAAGATTATAAAAATAGAAAAGAATTTTTAGCATGAACTTGGAATTTATTATATTATTTTAAGGCGTTAAAAGTATTCCATGATTTTAAAAAGCACATGCTGTATCCGTATATGCTTATATATATGTATCTTGAAATATGCTTTATTCCTATAAATGTCAAGTGAATCATTTCAATATTGTTTTTCACGTTAGAAAAATCTTGATTTACATTAAAAAAACTTTTGATAAACCCTTAAATATTTACCAAAGTAAAATAATAAATAGGTATAAAAGTGTGCTATAAGTGTCTATTCATACCCATGTAGGGACATACTGGTTACCCTGCAGATCTGGGTATCCTGGTCCCTACAGGCAAGAAGTCCTGCTTGGGGCAGTTGCTTAGCCAGAACCCATGCAGTACCAGTGGTCTAATGTTGAAAAAGGCAAAGATCACAGAAATACATACAAGTGTGGTATATAGCCCTGCCACTTGTCTGAGACTGCCTTCTCAGGTCCTAGCTCTGCATGGCATCTGCTTTGATGCTTGGGAGTTTGCTGTCATCAGCATCTTTGGCTCAAGCTGCTCCGCTGCTGTGTTCCTGTGAATATAGAACGTTGGCACAGTAGGTGTGTGGGGATGGGGAGAGGTACCTGCCCATGAGTGTGCCTCTCTGGAGCTGAGTAGGGGATTGTCGGTGCCTGGCCCACCTGAACCAGTAAAGGGCTGCAGGTATGGTGGGGCTGGGTCCACTTGTCAAGGCATGCGCACAGGGCTACCTAGCGCATGGGAGAGCTTCCCACTGGGCTGGGGTGGGTGGGCAGCTCCCAGCTGTGAGGGCCAGCTTTATTTTGTAAAGGGCTAGAGGAGGCCATTTCCTGTTTGTGTCCCACACCTGGAACTGTGGGGGTGGGGCAGCTCCTTACCTGGGAGGCCCTAGAGAGATAAAATAAGTTGGCCATGGCTCCAAGCCACACTCCACTGCCCCAACTGTGCAGGCAGCTAGGAGCAGGCAAAGGAGAAGGGCCCCTCCACCACCACCCACTGCCTCAGGTTGGCTGAGGCTGGGTGTGAGGCTGGCTTTCTCACATCCTCAATTGACTGTATGCAGATTTACACCTGGATATAGGAGAGAGCTATGGGCTCCACCTGAGTCAGAGTAAAAGGACAAATCTATATACAACCATATCTCAGAGATTTTCTGATTAGGTTCCAGACCACCACAAGAAAGCAGATATCTCAATAAAGCAACTCAAATGAGTTTTTTGTATCACAGTGAAAATAAAAGTTATGACTACACTATACTGTAGTCTAATAAAGTGTGCAATAGTATGTCTACAAAAACAATGTGTATATCTTAATTAACAAATACTTTATTGCTTAAAAATGGTAACCATCAAAGATGGCTGAGAAGTAGGGGAACCTGGATTTCCCTTGTCCCTCAAACACGGCTGTATTGAGGTCAGATCACTTGGAACACCCAGGAAATCAACCTGCGGAGTGGCAGAAGGATCTCTGCAGGTGGAGGGAGACATTGGAGGGACATTGGAGGGACATGTGTATATGAATTGGGGGAGATAAAATGGCATAGGCAAGGTGGGGAGGGAACCCCTTTTGTGAACAGACAAAAGGGAGAGAAAGAGAGAGGGATTCAGTATCTACTTAGCATTAGAGGAAAACCTCTCCAGACCATGGACTGGGAAATGAGAAATATGGAGAGTGCTGGTTTCCATTTTGCAAACAGCCTTAGGAGCTGAAACTTAGAGGTATGAAAGCGCCCGACTTTCTCTGGACTGGAGCCGGCTGTGTATGCACGTTGGCGGGAGAAGGAGCCAGCCCAGGGTGCTGTAGCAATCTCAGGTGCTCACTGGGAGAGAATAGTCCCTTTCTTCCAGTACTGTGGGAAGAGGATTTATTGCCTCCCCAGGACAAAAGACCCTTTGGTGGCAGCCAAAGGCCTTTTATCAGCAGGGCTGAGGGGCCCTACAGCTGGACAGGGTCCCCACAGTGCAGGACCGTTTAAGACATCAGGGTTTGAATCCCAGTCGAATGCCTAGAAGGCGCAGGAGAACTGTGGAGCAGGGCAAGCTAACTGTGCTATTCTGTGATGGCTGCCTAAATAGCATGGTTTGAGACCCCCGGTTGGGAGAGAGTTTGGAGTGTTGGCCATTTTTCTCCCAAACACCAACATGGAGGGACTTCAGGGAAGCAGCACAGCAGTCCCCCAGTGGAGGCAGGCTTACACCAAACCCCGCTCCTCCATGCCTGGCAACTGCTTTTCTACTGGAGCTAGACTGACTGAGCCAACGCAGCCAACCTCTCCTCCAGGTCAGCATAGCCACTGGTCCCGGGCACAACCAGACAACTGTTCTTTGTTTTTGTCTGTTTGTCTCTCTGTCTGTTGGTTTGTCTGTTCTTCTATTCTCTCTACCTTCTTCTTTTTTTTCTTTTGGAATCAGGCTCATAGTTTCTGATTTGTTTTTGGTCAATTCATATATATATATATATATATATATATATATATATATATATATATATATAAATTTTTTCTGCTTTTTTTGCTGTTTAGTCAGGCATTTTTACACCTTTCCAATATCTTCTTTTTCTTTATTTTATTTTCTCTCTCTCTCTGGATTAAGACTTATACTCTCTGGTTAGTCTTCTTTTCTCCCTTTTCATTTTTCTCTTTGTGTGGGATCAGGCTCCCCCCCCCTTTCCTTTTTTTATAGGGCTACTTCAATGAACAAATCAAAGCACAACTGGTTGAAGGTCCAAACACTCCACCACTACAAGAAAGGAGGAGCTTTGAAGAGGACTGACCAGTGGGATAGAGCAGCCAAAATGCCACAATAGAGTGTATGCAACACACCAAAAAATTCCTGAAGTGCCAGGCCCTGGAGAGTGTATGACCCCTACTTAATATAGTAGTACTTGCAGGTATGGGACATATAACAAGCTATTAAAACATGTAAAAGACAGAAACCTAGCCAAAATAATGAAACAGAAGAACTCTCCTCAAAAGAAAATTCAGGAAGAAATGACAGCCAGAGATTTGCTCAAAACAGATATAAACAATATATCTGACAACAATTTAGAATAACAGTCATAAGACTACTAGCTGGGCTTGAAAAAAGCACACAAGACACCAGAGAAACCCTTTCTGCAGACACCAAAGACCTAGGAACTAGTCAGGATAAATTTAAAAATGCTATAACTGAGATGCAAAACAAATGATACAGTGACTGCAAAGATGGAAGAAGTGGAGGAGAGAATAGGTTAAGTAGAAGATAAACTTACAGAAAAAAAATTAAGCTGAAAAAAAGAGGGAAAGGAAATTACTAGAACATGAGGGGAGACTAGGAGAAATAAGTGATTCCAAGAAACTAAAAAATATCCAAATCATAGGAGTCTCAGGAGAAGAAGAGTGAGAAAAAGGGGCAAAAGGTTTATTTGAGCAAAGTATAGCTGAGAACTTCCCTAATCTGGGGAAGGAAACAGGCATACAAATTCAAGAGGCACAGAGAACTCCCTTCAAACTAACAAACCAGGTCAACGCCATGACATATCATAGTGAAACTTACAAAATACAAAGATTTGAAGGAGAGTTCTGAAAACAGCTAGACACAAAAGGTTTTTTTGTGTACTTTATGTGTCTACTACAAGGGTAGACACATAATGTTAGTAGCAGACCTGTCCACTGAAACTTGGCAGGTCAGAAGGAAGTGGCTGGAAATATTCAATGTGCTGAATAGCAAAAATATTCAGCCAAGAATCCTTTATCCAGAAAGTCTGTCCAGAATAAAAGGAGAGATAAAGGCTTTTCCAGACAAACAAAAACTAAAGGAGTTCATGACCATTAAACCAGCCCTGCAGAAAATCCTAAGGAGGACTCTGAATGGGAAGTAGCAGCAAAGACTACAAAGGATTGGAGACATCACCACAATATGAAACTTACAGATAATACAATGGCAATAAATCCATATCTTTCAATCATCACTCTGAATGTAAGTGGACTAAATGTCCCAATAAAAAGACATAGAGTATCAGAATGGATTGAAAAAAAACCAAAATCCATCTATATTCTGCCTACAAGAGACTCATTTGAGACCTAAGGACACCTGCAGATTGAAAGTGAGACCCATCTATCATGCTACTGGATGTCAAAAGAAAGCTGGAGTAGCCATACTTATATCAGACAAACTAGGTTTTATTTATTTATTTATTTATTTATTTATTTATTTATTTATTACTATTTTTTAAATGTAATTTATTGACAAATTAGCTAATGTACAGTGTATACAGTGTGCTTTTGTTTTTGGGGGTAGATTTCTGTGATTCATTGCTTACATACAACACCTAGCACTCATCCCAAGAAGTCCTCTCCTCAATGCCCATCACTCATTTTTCCATCTCCCCCCATCAAACCTCAGTTTGTTCTCTGTATTTAAGAATCTCTTATGGTTTGCATCCCTCCCTCTCTGTTTGTAATTATTTTTTATCCTTCCCTTCCCCCATGGTCTTCTGTTAAATTTCTCAAGTTCCACATATGAGTGAAAATATATCATATCTGTTTTTCTTTGACTGACTTATTTCACTTAGCATAATATGCTCCAGTTCCATCCACGTTGCTGCATATGGAAGGATTTCATTCTTTCTCATTGCCAAATAGTATTCCGTTGTATATATATATAAACCATATCTTCTTTATCCATTCATCAGTTGATGGACAGTTAGGCTTTTTCCATAATTTAGCTGTTGTTGATAACACTGCTATCAGCATTGGGGCACATGTGCCCCTATGAATCAGCACTCCTGTATCCTTTGGATAAATTCCTAGTAGTGCTGTTCCTGGTTTATAGGGTAGTTCTATTTTTAATTTTTTTGAGGAACCTGCACACTGTTTTCCAGAGCAGCTGTACCAGTTTGCATTCCCTCCAACAGTGCAAGAGGTTTCCTGTTTCTCCACATCCTCACCAGCATCTGTTGTTTCCTGAGTTATTAATTTTAGCCACTCTGACCAGTGTGAGGTGGTATCTCAGTGTGGTTTTGATTTGTATTTCCCTGATGATGAATGATGTTGAGCATCTTTTCATGTGTCTGTTGGTCATCTAGATGTCTTCTTTGGAAAAGTGTCTGTCTATTCATGTCTTCTTCCCATTTCTTCACTGGATTATTTGTTTTTCAGGTGTTGAGTTTGGTAAATTCCTTATAGATTTTGGATACTAACTCTTTATCCAGTATGTCATTTGCAAATATCTTTTCCCATTCTATCAGTTGCCTTTAGTTTTGTTGATTGTTTCCTGTACTGTGAAGAAGCTTTTTTATGTTGATGATGTCCCAATAGTTCATTTTTGCTTTTAATTCCTTTGCCTTGGAGACATGTTGAGCAAGAAATTGCTGTGTCTGAGTTCAAAGAGGTTGTTGCCTGTTTTCTCCTGTAGGATTTTGATGGTTTCCTGTCTCACATTTAGGTCTTTCATCTACTTTCAATTTATTTTTGTGTATTGTATAAGAAAGTAGTCCAGTTTCATCCTTCTGCATGTTGCTGTCCAGTTCTCAAAGCACCATTTGCTAAAGAGATTGTCTTTTTCCCATTGGATACTCTTTCCTGCTTTTTGAAGATTAGTTGGCCATATATTTGTGGGTCCAATTCTGGGTTTTCTATTCTATTTCATTGATTAATGTATTTGTTTTTGTGTCAATGATGATTACAGCTTTGTATAGAGGCTAAAGCCGACAAACTAGATCTTAAAACAAAGACTGTAATAAGAGATGAAGAAGGGAATTATATCATAAGTAAGGAGTCTACCCATCACAAAGAGCTAACAATTGTAAATGTTTGTGCTCCCAATGTGGAACACACAAGTTTATAAATCAATTAATCATAAATATAAACAAATGCATAGGTAATAATACTGTAATTGTAGGGGATTTTAATACTCTACTTACACAATGGACATATCGTCTAGGCACAAAATCAATAAGGAAACAATAGCTCTGAATGACACATTGGACCAGAGGGAGGTAACAGATATATTCAGACTTTTCATCCTAAATCAGCAGAATACATACTCTTTGTGAGTGCACATGGAACATTCTCCAACATAGATCACATACTGGTTCACAAAACAATCCTCAACAAATATAAAAAGCTTGAGATCATACCATGCATATTATCAGTCACAATGCTATGAAACTTGAAATCAACCACAAGAAAAAATTTGACAAGCCCCAAAATACACAGATGTTAAAGAACATCCTACTAAAGAATGAATGGGTCAACCAGGAAATTAAAGAAGAAATTTAAAAATATATAGAGACAAATGAAAATGAAAAAAAAAACAGTCCAAACCCTTTGGGCTGCAACAAAGGCAGTCCTAAGAGGAAAATACATTGCAACTGAGGCCTATCTCAAGAGGCAAGAAAGGTCCCGAATACACAACCTAATCTTACACCTAAAGGAGCTAGAAAGTCAGCAGCAAAGAAGCCCCAAAGTCAGTAGAATAAGGCACATAATAAAGATTAGAGCAAAAATAAACAGTATATAATAAAAAAATTAGTACAACAGATCAATGAATCTAAGAGTTGTTTTATGGAAAGAATAAACAAAATTGATAAACCCCTAGCCAGACTTTTTTTAGTTAAAAAAAATTTAATGTTTATTTATTTTTGAGAAACAGAGAGAGACAGCGAGAGCAGAGAGAGAGGTAGACACAGAATCTGAAGCAGGCTCCAGGATCTGATCTATCATCAGAGAGCCCAATGCAGGGCTTAAACCCATGAACCATGAGATCATGACCTGAGCCAAAGTTGGATGCTTAACTGAGTGAGTCACCCAGGCACACCCCTAGCCAGACTTTTCCAAAAGAAAAGTAAAGGACCCAAATAGGTAAAGTCATGAATGAAATAGGAGAGATCACAACCAATACCACAGAAATACAAACAATTATGAGAGAATACTATGAAAAATTATATGCCAAAAAAACTGGACAATATTGAAGAACAGACAAATTCCTAGATAGTCACACACCATCAAACCTCAAACAGAAAGAAATAGAACATTTGAACAGACCCATAACCAGTGAAGAAATTGAATTGGTAATCAAAAATTGTCCCCCAAAATAAGATTCCTGGACCAGATTGAATTCTACCAGACATTTAAAGCAGAGTTAATACCTATTCTTCTCAAGCTGTTCCAGAAAGTGGAAATGGAAGGAAAGCTTCAAGACTCATTCTATGAAGCGAGAATTACCTTGATTCCAAAACAAGACAAGACCCCACTAAAAAGGATAATAAAAGCCCAATATCTCTGATGGAATTGGGCAGAAATTCTAAACAAGATACTAGCAAATCGAATTAAACAGTACATTAAAAGAATTATTCACTATGATCAAGTGGGATTCTTTCCTGGGCTGCAGGACTGGTTCAATATTCACAAATCAACCAAAATTATAGATCACATTAATAGAAGAAGGAATAAGAACCATATGATCCTGTCAATAGATGCAGAAAAAGCATTTGAGGGGTGCCTGAGTGGCTCAGCTGGTTGAACGTCCGACTTCAGGTCATGATATCATGGCTCGTGAGTTGGAGCCTTGTATCAGAGTCACCACTGCCAGTGTGGAGCCAGCTTTGGATCCTCTGTCCCCTTCTGTCTCTGGTCCCATCCCCACTCATGCTTTCTGTCTCTCAAGAATAAATAAACACTAAAAAAAGAAAAAGCATTTGACAGAATACGGTATCCAAGAATGAATTCTTAATAAAAACCCTCAAGAAAGTTGGTATAGGAGGAATATACCTTAATATCATAAAAGCCATATATTAAAGGCCCACCGTTGATATCATCCTCAATGAGGAAAACCTGAGGGCTTTCTCTAGATCAGAAACATAACAGGGAGTCCACTCTCACCACTGTTATTTAACATAGTGTTGGAAGTCCTAGCCTCAACAATCAGACAACAAAACAAAATAAAAGGCATCCAAATTGGCAAAGAAGAAGTCAAACTGTCACTCTTCACAGATGACATGATACTCTGCATGGAAAACCCAAAAGGCTCCACCAAAAAACTGCTAGAGCTGATACAAGAATCCAGTACAGGTGTAGGATATAAAATCAATCTACAGAAATCAGTTGCATTTCTATACACCAATAATGAAGCAACAGAAAGAGATATCAGGGAATTGATCCATTTACAATTGCATCAAATACCATAAAGTACCTAGGAATAAACCTAACCAAAGATGTAAAAGATCTGTACACTGGAGACTATAGAAAGCTTGTGAAAGAAATTGAAGAAGACGCAAAGAAAAGGAAAAACAGTCCATGCTCTTAGATTGGAAGAACAAATATTGTTAAAATGTTTATACTACCCAAAGCAATCTACACACTCAATGCAATCCCTATGAAAATAACACCAGTATTCTTCATAGAGCTAGAACAATCCTAAAATTTGTATGGAACCACAAAATACCCCAAATAGCCAAAGTAATGTTGAAAAGAAAAACCAAAGCTGGATGCATCACTATCCCAGGCTTTAGCCTTTATTACAAAGATGGAATCATCAAGACAGTATGGTATTGGCACAAAAACAGACACATAGATCAATGGAATAGATCTGTGGATCTATTGGAATAGAATCTATGTATCTGTGTGGAATAGAATAGAGAACCCAGAAATCGACCTACAAATGTATGACCAACTAGTCTTCAATAAAGCAGGAAAGAGTATCCAATGGTAAAAAGATAATCTCTTTAGCAAAAGGTGCTTGGAAAACTGGACAGCAACATGCAGAAGAATGAAACTGGACCCACTTTCTTACACCATACGCAAAAACAAATTGAAAATGGATGAAAGACCTAAATGTGAGACAGGAAACCATCAAAATCCTACAGGAGAAAACAGGCAGCAACCTCTTTGACCTCGGCTGCAGCAACTTCTTACTTGACATGTCTCTGAAGGCAAGGGAAATAAAAGTAAAAATGAACTATTGGGACCTCATAAAGATAAAAAAAACTTCTTCACAGTGAAGGAAACAATCAACAAAACTCAAAGGCAACTGATTGAATAGGAGAAGATATTTGCAATTGACATATAGGAAAAAGTGTTAGTACCAAAAATCTATAAAGAACTTACCAAACTCAACACCTGAAAAACAAATAATCCAGTGAGGAAGTTGGCAGAGGACATGAATAGACACTTTTCCAAAGAAGACATCCAGATGGCCAACAGACACATGAAAAGATGCTCAACATCGCTCATCATCAAGGAAACACAAATAAAAACCACACTGAGATACCGCCTCACACCAGTCAGAGTGGCTAAAATTAATAACTCAGGAAACAAGAGATGTTGGAGAGGATGTGGAGAAAGGGTAACCCTCATGCACTGCTGGTGGGAATGCAGTGTGGTGCAGCCACTCTGGAAAACAGTGTGGAGGTTCCTCAAAGAATCAAAAATAGCAGACTACACTGAATGTTAACTAACTTGAGAATAAATTTTTAAAAATGCTTACCATCATGTGAGCTTTTACAAGTTCTAATAGCCAATTACAAATCACCAAAACAAGTATCATAGTAGTGGAAAATTTGAAATATTGCAGGGACACCTGGGTGGCTCAGTCAGTTGAGTGTCCTGCTCCTGATTTTGGGTCAAGTCCTGATCCATGGTTTGTGGGATCTAGCCCCATGTCAGTCTCCTTGCTGATAGCGTGGAGACGGCTTGGGATTCTCTCTCCTCTCTCTGCCCCTCCTCCAGCTTGCTTTCTCTCACTGTCGAAATAAACAAACATTTTTTAAAAGGAAAAAATTTAAATATTGTAAGAATTACCATAATGTGGAAGACATGAAGTGAGCAAACACTGTTGGGAAAATGGTACCAATAGACCTTCTCCTTACAGGGTTGCCACAAATTTTTAATCTGTAAATAATGCAATATTTGCAATGCCCAGTAAAAGGAAGCACAATAAAACAAGGTATGCCTGTAACTTATTTAGAGGCTGTGACAGGAAAGAAAATGGAGGCACTTCCTGCTTTATGCATGTAAGGTCAGCTGTTCAATAAACTGAGTATTAGTACTTATAATCTTGAAAGTCAGGATAAGTAAGAAATGAGAATTGAGAATGAAAAATTCTCAATTGAGATTGAGAAATGAGAAATGAGAATGAAAGAGGCCAATAACAGACAAAACTCATTTAGGAAGAGACTGGTCAAAAGCACTGGAAGGGACCCAGGGGCACATGTATCAGCTGGTTGGGGCATTAGGATGGTCCCAGCCAGTATGTAAAGGGGATGAAAAGCTAATGAGCTTTTAATTTACAGAGTAAGACATTGAAGTGGGTAACAGTCTGCACAACTAGGAGAGTATTTTTACAAATTCTTTTACCTTCAGTGTACCGGGAGGCAATCTGGAGACACCCATTATGGGCTTCACAGGCAGGAGGTCTTGTCCCTTGGGACCTGATTCCAGGTACAGTAGGATGGAGAGCATGAGGAGGGTGTGCTGAGGGCTCAGGAAGATCAGTTGGGATGTACCAGCAGCTGCCAGAGGATTGGAGAACACTTTGGGGACAAAAGGCCTCTGTGCAGCTCTCTCAACCCTTCTGTCCCCACATGGTAAGGATAGAGCCCAGAAATTTCTACCCTCCTCAACAGGGGGACAAACAGAAGGAAGTGTCTAGGGAGCTAGTCTGGGGACCTCTTCATCAGGGCAAAGGGCCAGACCTCAGGGATGCAGGGATGGTCCATAGGTTTAGGGTAAGGGAGGTGAGAGTAGGTGGAAGCCAGGAGACAACAGCCATAGATGAGGACAGGTCCCAGGGATGGTAGAGATGAGCACTCATGAGCCATAACTTCCCCTGTAGAGCTTCTAGGAGAGGGAGCAACAGCAACTAGGAAACCTATAGGGGCAGCTCACAAAAGACCCAGGAGAATGGCTGTTGGCTAGTCCTCCTGTGGTGTGAGCCCTTAGGACAAGGATCAGCTTGGTGTAAGTATGGAGGGTGTAGTCCATCCTCACTTGTGCACTTAGGTGAGTTCCTCAAACAGCATGCTCTTCCTGGGCAGGGATGTGCTGGTGTTGTCTGGTTGCCCCAGATGCATCTCTTTTTAAAGGTTATTCAAGGGCTTCATTACATTTTGCAATTCTTGTTTCATGAAAATAAGTATAAAATGAAGAGATGTGTTCATGTGGGTAATAAAACACAGAGGTCTTTCAAACCTAATACAGGTAAGGCAGGATGGAAATCACTGGATATGCAAACAAACAAACAAACAAACAAACAAACAAAGCAAACCAACTCTTTACCTCAGAGAATTGAAAACTTATTAACTGTTATAGGTTTGTGAAGAGAATGAAACTAAAGAATGCTATGATAAGCTACAAATACATTGCTTAATATTGTGTTGAAAAAGTAATTTGGGATTTCATATTTTTTAACTCTCTGAGAACAGTCCTCTTGCAACCTGTTCATTTTCTGTTAATTCTGAATAGAAGGGAAGCAGGCAGATGTTTGTAGAGTGTTGCACCCCTTTTGTCCTTTGACTTCCAGCAAGTCTAGGGGCAGTTTCTCAAATCAGTTGTACCACCTGTGTACAAACTGGTTAGTAAATGTTTTCTTAAAACTATTAAAATCTTTGTGAAACAAGGCAGGGTATAGATAATGTGACTATCATGTCTTTCATAACACCTTTTATTGTATCCTGTGGCTTTATAGAAAGCCATTTTCTGAAATGAAATCTCAAAATTGTTTTGGCTATTCTATGCCGTTAGCCTTTTCATATAATTCTATCATCAATATGTCAATTAAAAAAAATTCTGCTGGCGTGTTGATTGGAGCTTCACTGAACCCATATGAATTTAGGGGGGATTGATATTTTAATATTGAGTTTTCTGATCCAGGAACTTAGTATATCTCTCATTTATTTTGTTCTTATATAATTTATCTCAGTAATGTTTTATAGTTTTCAGTGAGCAGGTCCTGCCATATTTTGTTAGATTTATCTATAAATAGCTCATTTTTGATATTTTAAAAATGGTGTTTTCAACATTAATTTACATTTGTTCATTGTAAATATATAAAACATAGTTCATTTTGTGCATTGATCTAATATCCTTCCTAAACTCACTTATTAATTCGAGTAATGTTTTTGTTTGCAAATTTTTGTTTTGATTTTATAAATAGATAATCGTGTCTGTGAATAAACACAGTTCTACAAATCAACATAAAAATCAATTGCCTTTGTATACATGAGTAATGAATAATCTGAAAATAAAATTAAAACATTTCCATTCACAAAAACTTTAAAAAGAATAAAATTCTTAGGATTATATTTAACAAAAGGAGTGTAAGACTCTTATAAATGAACATTGAATAATTTTGCTGAGAGAAATTAAAGGAGATTTAGATAAATGGAAAGACATTCAGTGTTCACTGTGATTGGAAACCAGTGTTGTTAAGATGTTAATTTTTCCTAGATCTATAGATTTAGCACAATCCCTAAAACAATCTCAGGAGTTTTTTTTGGGGGGGGAGCAGAAATTATTGAGCTGATTCTAAAATTTACATGGAAAGGTAAAGAATCCAAAATAGGCAAAATGATCTTGAAAAAGAAAATGAATTCATGGGACTTTTTCTTCTAAATTTTGAAACTTGCTTCAGAAGAATAATATCAGTAAAATGGCAGAGTCGGAAGTTTTTACCTCTTGTTCCCCACATAGACGTGGAAAAATAAGCAGAAATGCTCAGAACAAACATTGTCAGAACTCTAGAAATCAGTAAAAAAATAATTAAAGCTACCAAGCAAATGCTGAGCCAAGTAAAAGGCAATTTGAAAGTGGTAGGAAAGTTTTGTGGCATTTTTACTTGCCCTTGCCCTGCTCCTTCCCAATCATGGTTGGCAGTATTAGCCATGACAGACCAATTTTAAAACCTGACCCTTGGTTACAGACAGAGAAGAGCAGACCTTACTTGTAAATTATTGTGTGTGTCTCTTCTAACCTATTTGGGGGCCAGCTGAAGGAGACTCTCATCTCTCTTTTGCCTAACCTGGAGCAGATAGTAAAAGTGGTGGGTGTTGCTTGAAACACTGTAAGGGGATTTAACAAATTGCAGATATCAGGGACAGAAATTACTTGTTGAGATGTATCACAGAGTGCCTAAGCCCCAGGTGCAAAACTTCGGGAGATTCTTTGGGAAAGTAGGATAATAAACAATACCCATTTGTAGGGGCAATTTAGAAAGCTATATATGGTAAGGGCAAGATCCATGGCCAGAAAAGACTGGAGAAGACCCTCAACTTTCACCTCAAGCATAGCCCTTGTTCTGGTGGAAGACTAACTAAATGTTGATGGAATACCCCAGAACAGAGTCAATCTGTAAAGACTGAGAAAAGTGTTTGCGTTTTTTGTATGTGTATTTTTTTTCTTTTCCTTTTTCTTTTTTGGCTTGTTTTCTTAAATTCTTGACATTCAAGGATATCTTTGTCAAAACATTAACTCAACATGAACTGAAGGAATACAGATGTTAGTGATCACACACAAGTAGAAATACAGTCTTTGGAAAAATTAATATAAAATTAAATGTAAAAATTTTTCTTTTTCAAAATTTATTTAAATTGTAGTTAATTAACATATAGTATAATATTGATTTCAGGAGTAGAATTTAGTGATTCATCACTTACACCCAGTGCTCATCATAACAAGTAGCCTCCTTAATTCCCATCCCCCATTTTGCCCATCCCCCATGCACCTCCTTCCATCAACCCTCAGTTCTCTATGTTGAGGATCTCTATGGTTTGCTTCACCGTCTCTCTTTTTTTTCACTTTCCTCTACATTCATCTGTTTTGTTTCTTAAATTCCACATATGAATGAAATTATAAGATATTTGGCTTTATCTGACTGGCTTATTTCACTTAGTAAAATACACTTTAGCTCCATTCACATCGTTGCAAATGCAAGATTTTATTCTTTTTGATGGATGAGTAATATTCCATTGTGTGTGTGTGTGTGTGTGTGTGTGTGTGTGTGTGTATACACACACACACATATACATGCATATAAATGGATATGTATATATAGATATATGTGGATACAGATCTGTATCCATTCATCAGTTGATGGATATTTGGGCTGTGTCCATAGTTTGGCATTGTCGATAAGGCTGCTGTAAACATTGGGGTACATGTACCCCTTCAAGTCAGTATTCTGTATCCTTTGGGTAAATACCTAGTAGTGCAATTGCTCTATTTTTAACTTTTTGAGGAAACTCCATACTGTTTTCCAGAGTGGCTTCATCAATTTGCATTCTCACCAACAGTGAAAGTGTTCCCCTTTCTCTGCAATCTTGCTGACATCTGTTGTTTCCTGAGTTATTAATTTTAGCCATTTTGACAGGTGTGAGGTGGTATCTCATTGTGTTTCTGATTTGTAATTCCCTGATGATGAGTGATGTTGAGCATCTTTTCATGTGTCTCTTAGCCATCTGTATGTCTTCTTTGGAAAAATATCTATCCATGTATTCTTCCCATTTCTTAACTGGATTATTTGTTTTTCAGGTGTTGAGTTTGATAAGTTCTTTATAGATTTTTGATACTAACCCTTTATCCAATATGCCACTTGCAAATATCTTCTCCCATTCTATAGGTTGCCTTTTAGTTGTGTTGATTGTTTCCTTTGCTATGCAGAAGATTATCTTCAGGTGCCTGGGTGGCTCAGTCAGTTAAGTGGCCAACCTCAGCTCAGGTCATGATCTCACAGTCTGTGAGTTTGAGCCCTTTCGGGCTCTGTGCTGACAGCTCGGAGACTGCTTCGGATTCTGTGTCTCCCTTCTGCACCTCCCCCACTCACACTCTGTCCCTGTCTCTCTCTCAAAAATAAATAAACATTAAAAAATTAAAAAAAAAAAAGAAGATTATCTTGATGAGGTCTCAATAGTTCATGTTTGCTTTTGTTTCCCTTACCTCTGGCAACGTGTCTGGTAAGAAGTTGCTGTGGCCAAGGTCAAAGAAGTTGCTGCCTGTATTCTTCTCTAGGATTATGGTAGTCTTTGTCTCACATTTAGATGTTTCACCTTTTTGAACTTATTTTACTATGTGATGTAAGAAGGTGGTCCAGTATCATTCTTCTGCATGTCGTTGTCCAGTTTTTCCCATATCATTTGTTGAAGAGACTGTCTTTTTTTTTTCCATTGGATATTCTATCTTACTTTGTTGAAAATTATTTGACCATATAGATGTGGATCCATTTCTGTATTTTCTGTACTGTTTCATTGATCTATGTGTCTGTTCTTGTGCCAGTACCATACTGTCTTGATGACTACAGCTTTGTAATATAGCTTGTAGCTTGGAATTTGTGATGCCTCCAGCTTTGCTTTTTCTTTTTCAGGATTGCTTTGGTTATTCAGGGTCTTTTGTGGTTCCATACAAATTTTAGGATTATTTATTCTAGCTCTGTGAAAAATGCTGTTCATATTTTGATAGAAATTGCATTAAATGTGTAGATTCCTTTGAATAGTATAAACACTTTCACAATGTTTGTTCTTTTATTCTATGAGCATGCAATATTTTCCCATTTCTTTGTATCTTCTTCAATTTCTTTCGTAACTGTTCTAAAGTTTTAAGAGTACAGATCTTTTACCTCTTTGGTTAAGTTTATTTCTAGGTGTCTTAAGATTTTTGGTATAATTGTAAATGCGATTTATTCCTTTTTCTGCTGCTTCATTACTGGTGTATAGAAATTCAACAGATTTCTGTGTGATTTTATATACTATGACTTTGCTGAATTCATGTATCATTTCTAGCAATTTTTTGATGAAGTCTTTCAGGTTTTCTACATATAGTATCATGTTATCTGCAAATAGTGAGAGTTTGACTTCTTCCCTGTCAATATTATTGTCTTTGATTTCTTTTTGTTGTCTGATTGCTGAGGCTACAACCTCCAGTAGTATATTAAATAACAGTGTTGAGAGTTGACATCCTTGTGTTCTTACTGACCATAGAGGAAAAGCTCACAGCTTTTCCCAATCGAGGATGAAA